CCACCAAATCGGCGCCGCACTTCACCTAACCATATGAAGCCGCTAGGACCCCTACAGAGGCAAGCTCTGATTGGGGAATCAACATAAACAACTTGTGTCTTTGGGTGTTTGATTACCCTCATCGGGTTCGTGCGCCCAAGGCGTGTTCTTATTGTTTTTGAGTGCGTAGGTTTCTTGTACTGTCTATTTTGACTGAGCGTGTGGATTCCGAATTGCCATTAAGTGTAACGTATTAAGTTTGTGTTTTCAAGTGTACAGACCTCCTCTTGCTTTGATATTATGGATTTCTGATCGTGTGTGATTGTATGTATTTCTTATCGGTTGTGAGTGTACGGGGTTCTCATTGTTGTAACTGTAGAGGATTCTTCTCGAAGAAGAAGGATAAATAGAAGAAGGAGGAGGACAAGGAAGAACATGCTGAGGAGGAGAAGGCAAGAGGATGATGATGCTGATGATGGTGATGGTTGTGATGATGGTGGTGATGATGGTGATGGTTGTGATGATGCTGTGATGATGGTTGTGATGATGATGCTGATGATGGTGATGGTTGTGATGATGGTGGTGATGATGCTGGTGAGAAAATATCACGCCATATAGTCTGAAATCTCACCCTTACGGGGGGGTCCGATCCGGGGGGGGGGAGGGGGCCCCATCGCGCGGGGGATGAGGAGCGGAGCCGAAGGTATGGGCATAGGGAACGGGGGGCCGGACACCTGAATCATAGCTCGAGGAGAAGCTGCGAATGAGGGATGAGGAATGAGGAGAATAAGGAATATGAGGAAAAAGGAGTCCCACCAGCCCTCTGGGCGACAGGTGCTCTAACCAGAGTCTCTTTCCTCTTCCACGACCCCTCTTCCCTTCGGGAAGGGGAACCCTCCCCCTCCCCTCCCTGAAGTTTTTTGAAAGGGGTCGCGAGGTGTCGGACGTTCCTTTTGGGGCCCCTGGGACGGCCAATTCTTGACACCCCTCACAAGGATCGTGGCGTCCGCAGGGGGGGAGGGGAATCTAAGACCCCCCCTCTTTTGCCCGACCGCCTCCAAGACGGCCCGAGAGGCGCTCCAAGGCTCCCAAGATGCCCCCAAGAGGGCTCTAAGAGCGGCTCCAAGAGGCACCCGAGGGGCCCCCAAGAAGCCCTCGAGCGGCCTCGGAGAGCCCAAAATTACCTCCAAGATGACTCAGATAGCCTCCAAGACTGCTCGAGATGGCCACGGGGCCTGCCAAGCCTCTGTCGCCGTTTGACTATGCGTGTCTCTTCCTCTCTCCCCCCGTCAACTCTCATGGACATCGTCTCTGGATGGGCTGGTGGGGATACGATATGGATGATAAAGCGAAGAGAACGAAAAGGACGAGGAGGGGGAGCAGCAATGACAAGGAGAGATGCCCGAGGGAGACGAGCGGAGGGAGATGATGGGAGGGCGAAGGAGGACGACGAGGGGAAGAGAAAGAAGAATGGGAGGACGAGCACGGGGAGGAGGAGCAATGATCAGAAGTACGTTCGGGGCCGAAGCGAAAATGATGGGAGACGAGCGTAGGAAGAGTGCGAAAATGGATGGGAGGAAGAGGGGGATGGGGGGTGGACGAACAGAGGCAGAATAGGAAAAGGGCAAGAGCACGAGGTTAGAAGCGGCAGGGCGAACAGCAAAACCGAGAAGGAGGGAAAGGGAGGGAGCAGCAGCAGACGACGACAGGAAGCGGGGTGAGTAGGGGTGGGGGGTTAGGGACACAGTTAATGATATAAAGATAGAAACTCAGAGGTCCGCGCGGATTCCACGGATCGACGCTGGGGCCCCTGGCGGCGCCTCCGGCGCCGCCCAGGTATGCCATTGTTTGTTTCCGTAGGGGCGCTGGCAGCGATCCCCCTGGTGGTGGTGCTCCTGGGCCATGTTTTGCTGCCCTGCACCTCACCCTACGGGCTCAGCATTTTGTCGGCGGCAGTCTGAAAGCCAGACTGCTCTTTGCCACTCGCACTACCTCGTCGACCCACCTGGGCGGCCCCGCGGTGCTTTCCCTTACTGACAGTACAGTGCGGGCGCGGCCGCAAGAAACACTCGCAAGAAACCCAACCCTGAGAACCCGTGGCGAGGTGCACCCAAGGGCAAACCTGGAGCACCCTGAACGCAGCAGCTCCTTCAACGGCTGCGGGAAGTCACCGCGCAGCGCGAGGATCGAAGAAACCAAGAACACCCTGACGAAAAGCACATGGTTTCTTGATGCGCGCCCCCACTGTACCTAGTCGGCCATCACCTGGACGGCGTCACTGCAGGTATCCTTGAATTCTTCGAACTGGGCCTCGTCAACGCTCGTGGATGCACCGGCGACGCGGCCCGGCAGCTGCCACGGTCCCCGCTGCAGAGGCTGGCCGCGCCAGCGCACTCAGGCTGGAAACATTCCGCCTCTGAGTGGCCCCGCGCTCCCTCCTCCTCCGCGGCCGCCCTGTCTGCCTCGGTCATTCTGCCTCGCCGCCGACGGAACGAGTTGGTCACCGTAGGGATGGGGGCGGGGGGGGGCATAGAGGGAGAGGGAAGGGGGAGGGGGGCGGCGGGGAAGGGAAAGGGGAGAAAAGAGGAAGAGGGAAGGGCATGGGCGGGCGGGGCAGGGAGAGGAAAACGGGGAGGGGGGCGTCTCCCTACCCGCCGCACCTGCGTCCTCCTCTTCCTGCTGCTGCTCCACCTCCTCCTCCCTCCTCCTTCTCCTCCTCCTCCTTCTCCTTCTGCTCTTCTTCCTCCTCCTCTTCCTCTTCCTTCTGCACTTCCTCTTCCTCCTCCGCACATCATCATCATCAGCAGCATGATCACCATCACAATCGCCATCACCATAATCATCATCAGCGTCATCATCATCATCATCATCATCATCATCATCATCATCATCATCATCATCATCATCATCATCATCATCATCATCATCATCGTCATCATCATCATTATCATCAGCATCATCATCATCAGCATCATCATCATCAGCAGCATCATCATCATCAGCATCATCATCAGCATCATCATCATTGTCATCGTCATTATCATCAACCGCAGCAGCAGACATCAACATCATCATCAGCATCGGTATGCATCAGCATCAGCATCAGCATCATAATCAGAATCAGTATCAACATCATCATCAGCCGCATCATCAGCATCAGCATAGCATCATCATCAGCAACATCAGCATCATCAAAATCATATGATCAGCATCATCATCATCAGCAGCATCATCATCGTCACCATCATCATTCATCATCAGTCATCATCGTCATCGTCGTTATCAGCAGCCTCATCACCATAATCACAATATGCATCATCATGACCAGCAGCAGCAGCAGCAACCTCAGCATCATCATCGTCGTCATCATCATCATTAGCAGCATTAGCATCAGCGTCATCATCAACTTCATCAGCCTTATCATCAGCATCATCACAATCCCCGTGATCACAAAGACCATGAACCATCATCATCAGCATCAGCAGCAGCTACCTATGCACCATCAACATTACCACAATACTCATCACGATCATCATCATCGTCATACCATCCTGATCAGTATCATCAGAATCATCATCATCAGCAGCATCATCATCGTGTTAGACATTGGCATCATCATCATAACCAGCATCATCGTCATCGCCATCATCAACTGAATCATCATCAGCAGCATCAGCATCGTCATGATCAGAATCATAATCAGCATCATCATCATTATCATAAGCATCATCCTCATCATCAGACTTCTTATCATCATTACCACCACCATTAGCATGATCATCAGAAGCAGAATCAGCACCCTCATCATCATCATAATCATCAGCAGCAGAATCTTGATCATCATCGTCAGAAGCAGCATCGGCATCAGCATAAGCATCAGCATCATAATCAACATCGTCATCAGCATGAGCAGCAACAGCAGCATCAGCAGCATCATCATCGTCATCGGCATCGTCATCACCATCATCATGATCACTGTCATCATCAGAAGCAGCATCATCAGCAGCAGCATCATCGTCATCGGCGAAATCGTCATCATCATCATCAACAGCAGCATCATCATCGTCATCATCATCAGTATCGTCATCGTCATCGCCGTCAACATCATCATAATCAGCAACGGCAGCATAATCAAAATCATCATCATTGTCATCATCGTCATCATCATCATGATCCACACAATCATCACCAGCATCAGCATCATCATCATCATCATCATCATCATCATCATCAGCATCATCATCATCATCATCATTACCACCACCACCATCATCGCTCCTCCTTCTCGTCCTCATCATCCACATCAGTATGATAATATGCATCATCGTCGTCAGCAGCATCATCACCAGCATCAACATAAAACAGCATCATCACTGGCATAAGCATCAGCCTAACCAACGCTACCATCACCATCAGTACTATCGTTATCATCATCATCGTCATCATCAGCAGCATCATCATGCTCATCATCATTAGCATCATCATCAGCATCATCACCACCACCATCATCATCATCATCATCATCATCATCATCATCATCATCATCATCATCATCATCATCATCGTCACCAGCATCATCTTCATCATCGTCTTCATGATCAGCATTAGCATCATCACTTGCATTAGCACTGACATCAGCATCAGCATCTGCATCTTCCTCTGCATCTTCGTCAACATCACCATCAAAATTACCATCATCGTCGTCGCCATCATCATCATTAGCAAACTCAGAATTAGCAGTGGCAGTAGCATCAGCACCAGCGTCAGCATCGTAGTCATCATCATCATCATCATCATCAGCAGCAGCAGCAGCATCAGCATCAGCATCAGCATGAGCATCAGCATCAGTATCATCATCATCAGCATCATCAGCAGCAGCAGAATCAGCATCAGCATCATCCCGCCGTGCTTCTCCTGCTCCCCCCACACACAGCTGCTCCACCTCGCCCCCTCCATCCCCCCCTGCACTCCCCCACGCTCTTCCCCTGCTGCCCCTCCCCCTTTCTCCCCGCAGCGACGTCCTCATCCGAGCACTGCGCGGACTCGTCGGCGACACCCCCGCCGTCGCTCACCTCCGACGCGGCCCCGTCGGGGGCCGTGCGCACGGGCGCTCCTCGGGGCGAAGCTCCGGCAGGGGAGGGCATGCGCGGAGGGGGGGAGGGGGGCAGGCCCGACGACCTCCGCGAGGCTCTGGCCAAGGGAGGCTCGAGGTTCGGAGCTCGAGGATCGAGGTCTGCTCCCCAGGGAGCCCATCTCTCCTCCTCCTCCTCCTCCTCCTCCTCCTCCTCCTCCTCCTCCTCCTCCTCCTCCTCCTCCTCCTCCTCCTCCTCATCCTGCCCATTTCTCCTGCGCTCCCTCGCTAGACTTGCCATGTGCGAGCTGGCGCCCCAGGGGGGTAAGAAAACACAGCTCCCCCAAGGCTGGCTGGTCGGGGGGTCGAGGATGTCCGTGCGCCTCCCCTGGGCCGCAGGAGGAGGCTCGAGGCCCGGGACTCTAGGATCGAGGCGTTGTGGCGTTTCTCGCTCTCCTTGGACCTACGGAAGCCTTATCGGGCTCTGGAAGCCTCTGGGGACCCCCGTGGACCTCTGGGGGACTCCGGGGGACTCCTACGACTTCCGGAGCCCTCCGACACCTTTCCAGAGGAAAACGGGGGGACGACGACCACGACGAGGACGAAAACGACGACGACGACGACGACGACGACGACGACGACGACGACGACGACGGCGACGGCGACGGCCACGGCGACGGCAACGGCGAGGGCGACGGCGACGACGAGGACGACGACGACGACGACAACGACGAGGACGGACGACGGACGACGGAGGACGAACGACGGACGACGGAAGACGACGACGCCGACGCCGACGACAGACGATGGACGACGGACGATGCGGACGACGGACGACCAGCGACGGACGACGGACGACGGACGACGGACGACGGACGACGACGCACGACAGACGACGGTCGACGGACGACGGACGACGACGCTGGACGACAACGACACGACGACGACGACGATGGCGGCGGCGGCGGCGGCGGCGACGACGACGACAACGACGACGATGCCGACGACGCCGACGACGGTGCTCCTGTCTCGAGGCCCCACTGTTCGCAGGCGCCGTCGGACCAAAAAGCGGCCTCGGCGCGCCCCCGCCAATGCCTCCTCTCTCCTCTTCTTCCCGCGTCCTCCTCCCCCCACGCAGCCAGTAGCCAGTAGCCACCCCCTCCTCGCAGGGGGCACCTGGGGGTGGGGCGGGGAATGGTGGAGGTTTCTTAGCGTTGCCTCCTCAGCCTCAACGGAGGTGCCCCGCAGACGGGGCGAGATCAGCCGCGAAACCGCCTGTGCCAAGGCGAAGGCCCGCTGGGCCCCAGGGATGACTCTGGCGGGAGGCAGGGAGCGAGGGGGAGGGGCACGGGGCGAGGGCCGAGGGCGACAGCAGGGGACAGAGAGGGGGAGGCAGAGGGGGAGGGATCGGGTGCTCAAAGATGGGGCCCCGAGGAATGGGGTCCTAAGGACGGACGAGGTGCCTCCAACATCGTAAATCCAGCCTTGGATCCCTTCCTATCCTTGGGACCCCATCCCTCAGGACCCAAGCCTTGAACCGGAAGGGAGGGAGGGAGGGCAGGGGGGTGGCAGAAGAATGAGAAAGGAGGAAGACTTGGCTTGGACTCGGCAGAAGAACGCGCCTTTAATCCAATCGGCGGCTGGATCCAGAGCAGACTGAACAGAGGGCAAGGGGCAGAGTAGTGCACGTAAACGACTCGCTGCGAGCGAGCGCGAGGCTGACAACGTTATGTTGTTCCGTCCAATTCCGCATTTGCTACATCCCACCCGTCCCACAAAGAACGGCACCATGCAAGGGTGCCAGAGGAGTAGGAGGAGTAGGAGGAGGAGGAGGAGGAGGAGGAGGAGGTAGAGGAAGAGCGCTCCTCATCATCATCATCGCTCCTCCCCCCTCCGACCCCCGAGAGGCACCCAGGAGGCCACACGAGGCCCCCAAGAGGCCCCCAGGAGGAGCCCAGGAGGCCCCAAAGAGGCGGAAGCGGGGCAGCGAGGGTATGTAGCGGTATCGATACCTTTCCCTCCCCCGATCGAACCTCGACCCTCCACGACGACGGCGACCGCGACGACGAGCCGCGGGCCTCGATGCGGCGCGCGGCGACGTCCGCCGCGCGGCCCGCCTGGTGCCGCGGCAGGGCCGAGGCGTAGCTGTCGATGTCGCGGGGCACGGAGGCCTCGGGGCACCGTGTCGGGCGATCGACGTTTTTCGGGTCGGGCGAAAGGGGGGGATAGCAAAGGGGGGGTTTGAGAATCAGCTCACGTAGCTGATTTTCCTGGCGCCTCCCGGCGCTGGAGGCGGCTATGTATCGAGGAATGGGCCCCTCGGTGGGGCCGAAACCAGCTGCATGCAGCAGATTTCGTAACGCTCCCTTTTCCAATCCCCCCCTTTCGCCCGGCCCGAGTTTGGGCCATGCACCTGCTTGGGACGCACAAAGATAGGTTTTGGAACAGGACCGCGACCACAGAGCTTCGCCCGGCTTGGCCTCGACATCCGTGCGGATCCAGGTCGCCGAGCAAGCGGGAACGCAACAGAAGCCGACTTGCGATTCGCGAACTCATGCAGTGAACCGTGGCCTGAAAGACGAGCGAGCGTGCAGCATGCGAAAAAATGAAACACGAGGAGGAGGGAGGGCCACAAGGACGCAAAAAGACATACTAGCACTATGTGTCCTATTCTCGGAGGCGTGCGTCCGACCCGAGCATATAGTACTGCCATCTTGTAGTAAATCATTTCCCGAGCGGTTACAACTTGTCGGCGCGCGCTTCGCCCTCGGGGTGCAAACGCAGCATAATATTAAAAAAATATTGGGGTGACCCCCTGCTCACGCCAGATCTCGACAAGAGGACGCAGGTGAGGGCATGGCTGAAAATCCAGCTCCTGGAGCCCAATATCTAGATGTTCTCCCCCCCGACGCCCAGAAATGGGGGGCAGCAGCTGGGATAGTTCGGGGCAGGTTATCCATCGAAGACTCGCATTCGACCGCACGGGGATAAAGACCCCAGGATGGAAGCTGGAGGATCGATGTGTTCAACGCTTCTGGCGTTTCCTGGACTTGAGCATCCTCGTCGTGGCCACGGATATTCTGGGTAGACTTGTTTATCATCGACCACTGAACGCACCGCAAACGTGACGAATCTGATGTGCTACCCGCGAAAATTCTGGTTTTGAGGCGCGGGTTGCCCTTTGGGAACTTCCGTGGGGCTTCTCGTCGCCACAGCTGGATCCGCTACGAAACCCTAGCCAAAACGCACCTCTGGACGGGTCCAAGGGTCGACCTCTTTCATCCACGAGCCCCGACACTTTCAAGAAAAAAAGTGCCCTGCGTTTGCGGACATGGAAAGCAAGGGCCAAAACAAATCCTGGCGAAAGACCCAACAATGTGCAGCTGTGAGTACCGCGTTATGGGTACCGCTCTCGGTGGAGCTCCCTATGGGGCCGCGATCCTCGTGAGGGGTGTGCAGAAATCAGCGGGGGGACGCATGCAAACCCTGCCGCTGGGGCCTTCGGTGGAGCTCCCTATGGGGCCACGATCCTCGTGAGGGGTGTACCTAAATGGGCGGGTGAACGCATGCAAACCCTGCCGCTGGGGCCTTCGGTGGAGCTCCTTGCGGGGCCACGATCCTCGTGAGGGGTGTGCCGAAATCGGCTGGGAGGCGCATGCAAACCCTGCCGCTGGGGCCTTGGGTGGAGCTTCCCATGGGGCCGCGATCCTCGTGAGGGGTGTGCAGAAATCAGCGGGGGGGACGCATGCAAACCCTGCCGCTGGGGCGATCGGTGGAGCTCCCTATGGGGCCACGATTCTCGCAAGGGGTGTGCCGAAATGGGCGAGGGGGCGCACGCGCCGCAAACCCTGCCGCTGGGGCCTTCAGAGGAGCTCCCTTATGGGGCCACGATCTTCGTGAGGGGTGTGCCGACATGGTGGAAATGCGGCGAGCAGAAGCAGGCATCGAAGGAGGAGGGGAAGGAGGGGGCAGCGGGAGGCGAGGTGAGGCGAGACGCGGGGCGCTATCTCTTCAAAACGAGGACCCAACACCACAGGTTGGTTGGGGAAAAAACTGGCACATTGAATTTGGGGAGCCGAAAATACAAAAGTATATGCTCATCTCTGTCGGCGTTTCTGGGGGGGGGCTTTCTCAGTCTCTCTGTCACCACGGCTGGACGTGTGGGCAGGATGGCCACCCAGGCCCCGACGCAGCGGGGGCGGAAGCTGGAGCGGGATACCAGGAAATCACACCATTATGTATATATATATATATGTATAGAAGACTGCAGTGGCGCTTCGCGCAATGCACCTTGGTCCTTTAAATTTGGCATGCCGGCGAAATAGCAGGAAAGTCAAGCCGACAATTTAGCGATAACTCCTTGTTACCTTTTCCAGCATCGCGGCTATAATAATGTTATTCGTTTTCCTTTCTCCATACTTCTGTTTCCTTATTTTCGCCATGCCCTGCGCACACTCCCCATCCTCCTCAGCTCTTTTTTGCGGAGGCTCCTCCTTGGAGAGCCTCTGGGGGCCTCACAAAAGTTGTTTCGGGCTTTCTTACGGCCTTATGGAGGCCTCCTGGGCGTATTCTGGGGGCCTCCGGGGGCTTCCTTGGGCCACCCTGCCTCCAACCGCGGTCTCCCTGAACGACCAGGTCACGATTCGGAATGCTTCGGAGGGTGTCTTTGGGCCATCTTGGGCCGCCATGGGGCTCTCTGAGGGCCATCTTGGACCCGTGTTGTGCCGTTTTGGGGCTCTCTTGGACTGCCTGGAAGCCCTTTCGGATGGTTGTGGGGCGATTTTGGAGCCCCCTTAGGCGGCTTCGAAACGCCCAGCAGACCGGCCGTCTTGTATCGTCGGGAAGCCGAAGCGAGAAACCTTCAAACACAACTTCCCCAAAAACCAACAGAAAAATCATGATTTTTTGCTTTTGGGGCCTTCTTAGGAGTGCTCTTGGAGGCCTCTTTGGGGCCGTCCTGGAGGCCTCTTGGGCCATCTTGAGGTCACGTCGGTCACTCTTGGAGCGCTCTTGTGCTGTCTTGGGGGTCTCTGGGACGTCTCCGATGACCCCCCTGATCGCCCTAGGTGTGCTGGGAAGGCTTGGCAAAACGCCCTGCGAGGCCCGGGGGCCGCTTCGAAGCCCGTCCGGAGGGTCCCAAAGCCCCAGATCCTGGGAGTCCGGTTTTGGGTGGGGGGGGACGGGTCCTCCCCCCGCTCGGGCTTGCATCACCCCCCCCGCGGGGGGGGAGGGGTGATAGGTTTTCCCCCCGCCTGGGCTTATAAAAATATAGGAAGAGGAATATATGAGAGAGCGTGATCCACCGCCGCTTTACTGTGGAAAATTGCCAACCTTTTCCTCCGGAACCCGGGGGTCTCCCCCCCCCCCCCCCTCACCGAAAATCCCCCCCCCCCTGCCGGAACCCCCTCCCCCCCCGCTCGAAAACCGGGGGGGGGTCACTACCGTTTCGAACCCCTCCCACCCCCCCCCCCCCCCTCCGGATCCGAAACCGGGGGTCCACTACGGTTCGAACCCCCCCCCCCCCCCCCCCCCCCCACCCCTACTCACCGCCAGCAAACGACTCCCGGTCCCCACCACCGTCCGCATCACATCCCCACTGGTGTTCCCAGCACCACTGTCCTCACCACCGCTGTCCCCACTGGTTCCACCACCGCCCCTACTGTCCCCACCAGTGGCCCCACCACTGTCGCACTGTCCCCGCTGTCCCCAGAACTGTTCCCACCACGGTTCCACTCTCCCCACTGTCTCCACGGCCCCAACCACTGCCCGACTATCCCCACTGTCCACACTGTCCCACTGACTCCTCCGCTGTCCCACTGAGCTGTCCCACTGTTCCCACCACTGTCCCCACTGTCCCCACCACTGTCCCCACTGTACCTTTGTCCCAGTGTCCCACCGCCGTCCTCGCCACCGCCTTCACCACTGTCCCCACCACCATTGTACCCTCCACTGTCCCACTGTTTCCACCTCATTCCCATTGTCCCCACACCACTGTCCCCACCACCACCGTCACCACCACTGTCCACTGTCCCCCCCTGTTCCCACCATTGTCCCACCACTGTCCCCACCACTACCGTCCCCACCACTGTCCCACTGTCCCACTGTCCCCACCACTGTCCCGCTATCCCCTCACCACTGTCCCCACCAACACCGTCCCCACCACTGTCCCACTGTCCCCCACTGTCCCCACCCCTGTCCCGGCGTCCTCACCCTGTCCCCCCAACACCGTCCCCAACACACTGTCCTCCCCCACTAACGTTTTCGAGGGGGGTGGGGGGGGTGGTTCGCACCGGTGTGACCCCCCCCCTTTTCCCTGGATTGAGCATGGTGTGGGGGGGGGGGGGTGGGGGGGGGGAGGGGTCGAACCCGTAGTGACCCCCCCCCCCGTTTTAAAGAAAGGAGGGGGGGGGGGGGAGGGGTGCGAACCGGTAGTGACCCCCCCGGTTTTCCCGCCAGCAGCGGTAACACGCTCTTTCCGAATATATATATATATATTATTATATATATATAATATATATATGTATATATATATATAATCTATATATATTATAACATATATATATATATAATACACACACACACATCTATCCGCGAATTCGGTAGCCCAGGCGCCCACTGTGGGCACTGGGAAACCGAGATGGGATGAAACGCGCGCAATGATGGATTTCAGGAGGACTCCTTCGGTGGCAACGCATGGGAGCCGTCCATACCTTCTCGCTGGCTCTTGCGAATCGACGCTGATCGACACTAATCGACGCTATTCGAAACTAATCGGCACTAGATCGGCGCTATCTCATCGATTACCAGACGCCAATCGACGCGAATGCTGGGAGTTTCTCAGCAATGGAAAGCAATTGCGAACCAAAAAGCGAGACTGGTTTGGGATAGGTTCTAGAGTAGGTTCGGGGGAAAGGTTCACAAGCAAAGTAAATTCCATGAAGAAGGTTCAAAGCTCGCGAAAAGAAAACGTCATCGCATAGACAGCTGGCGGCAACTGGGTTTGCCAAGACGCATCGGCGCGAATGGTGTGGCCAGTTAACTTGACAAAACGCATCGGGCAAAATAGGTCTGGCAAGTGCGCTTGGGGATGTTTTTGGCCGTGGCAACGCTGCCCAACAAAAATAACCAGGGGGAAAAAAAGGCCCGGGCGACGTTGCCGGCGGGGTCCTCG